CCTGAATCGGGAATGGCATGCTGAGTCATGGTGTTGCAGACAGTTCCACGACCACCATTCGGAAGTCTGAATAAACTGACCATGTCCTTCCATATAGGAAACTCCTGACTAGAGATGCTGCCCTGAGATCCTTCAGGGCAGATTCCATGGGCTAAGCCTGTGCTGAAGTCTCTGTGGATATGGGCGGGTGAGTTCCTTCGTAGTGAAGTGAATATGTACAGATGGACCAACAACAAAATAGAAAAAAAAAAGCTGAACAATTAAAGTGCTTCCAATGTTCATTCAGAGTCCTCGGCAGCCTGCCGGAAAACAACTGAGAGCCAGAGCCGGTGTTTGTGGAGACTCCGTGGGCCACGTTGTGTGGTATGAGGAGTCTCCCAGTATCTGTCACTTGGTGCTTCCTGTAACATCTCACTGTGTGTGACACGGTGCCGTGCGTCTCCAAGCAGTGATACAGGTGACCAGAAGTTAACAAACAGAATATGCCTTTCTTCTGCCGGTCTTAAAGTTTGACACTAGATCCCTTTGCACCTTCCTTCTACGTGAGAGCCGAGAATCATAAGGCAGTAATCCTTCTATTAGGTCTCTAACATTCCAGCAAATATGTCCCCATTGCTAATTTCAAAACGTGAAAGATGATGTTGTGCCGTGTGAAGGCATGTGTAAGGACCACTGCCTTTCAAACTAAGAGCTGACGCTTTGTAGTATTTACTGAGCACCATCAGACATGACTGTAGACGGTTGAACGATGCCATCTTACCCGGCCATTACAACCCATTTGCATTCTATAGATTCAAAGCACGAAAGCATAAGGGTATCATAAAACTTAAAGCAGAGTTCACTCCAGGCAGCTTGGACCCAGGATCCTTCCTGACATTTAGGTTGTGAGCCTAGCCTTTAAAGGCTGAGTCATCTCTCCAGCCCCAGGATCCTCTCCCTCCTGTCTGCTTCCCCTTATCTCATACGCAAATGTCTTTCCTTTACAGAGAGGCACAGACCCTCACTGCTGCCTTACCACCCTGGCTGTACGTGTCCTGCAGCGCAGGCTAGCTACAAGAAGTCCAGCAACTGACATGCATTCTCTGTTTCATGATGCTCCCTGTCCGGTCTAGGAGACATGGTGGAAATGCAAGCTGGTACAGCCCCTTTGGATGTCAGTGTGGTGATTTCTCAGAAAATTAGGAAACAACCTTCCTCAAGACCAAGCAATACCACTTTTGGGTATATATCCAAAGGATGCTCAATCGTGCCACAAAGACATGTGCTCAACTATGTTCAGAGCAGCACTGTTTGTCATAGCCAGAACCTGGAAACAACCTAAATGCCCCTCGACTGAAGAATGGATAAGGAAAATGTGGTACATTTACACAATGGAGTACTACATAGCAGAAAAAAATACTGACATTTTGCAGGAAAATGGATGGAGCTAGAAAACATTATTTTGAGTGAGGTAAGCCAGACACAGAAAGACAATTATCACATGTACTCACTCATAGGTGGTTTTTAAACATAAGGCAGAGAAAGCCAGCCTACAAATCACAATTCCAGAGAACCTAGACAACAATGAGGACTCTAAGAGATACATACATGGATCTAATCTACATGGGAAGTAGAAAAAGACAAGATCTCCTGAGTAAATTGGGAGCTTGAAGACCTTGGGGGAGGGTTGAAGGGGAGGGGAGAGGCAGGGGGAGGAGCAGAGAAAAATGTAGAGCTCAATAAAAATAAAAAAAGAAGTCCAACACCTGACATACATTCTCTGTTTCATGACGCTCCCTGTCTGGTCTAGGAGACAAACTAATAAACCAGTAATTGCGAGCTACCAGTAGGGTTACAATGTGGGCACAGATCAGAGGGAATCCCCCAGAAGCCTGCCTCTCCCAGGAAGCAAGCTGGGAGGGCTGACGGGAAGTATGACCAGAGGATGGAGGGACGGAACCGAGTTGCTGGAGCCCAGCGTGAACTGCTGGTTACGCCACATGCTAGTCGGTAAGAATGCGAAGTGACCGGGCAAACAGTTGCTCTCCTGGTTGTGCCGAGAAAGGCTTGCTAGCCTAACAAAACCATCCGGGGATTCCAGGAAGCAGAGGTGACCTGTGCAACCTCTGAACAAATGAAGTCACAGAGTCACACCTTCTTAATATGTAACTTAATACGTATCCATTTATTTTGCTCTTGGTATTTAAGACTTCACATAATCTCCTGGCCAAAGCCCTACAGGCTCTTTATCAACCTCACGTTGTGTTCCAGGTAACCTTGTGAGCATCCACACCGCACTCAAGGATGTAGGTGAAAGACAAGCAGTCTCACAGTCTAACGTGCGCACCTGCAAGGCTGGAATTCAGTCAGAAACCAGAATGAGAGAATTTATCTGAAAGTAGCTCCTCTCTCCTCCCTCCTCCTCTCCCTCCTCCTTTCTTTCCGCCCTCCACCCCAAGCCTTTGTCTTCTTCTGCTGGGTTGAAGCTGGACCATTTTCATATGAAATACAGGATCTACCACTGAGCCATATCCCCAGCCTGGCAAGTGTTAGGGTCTAACTATTAAACAACCACAACAGTGGAAAGATTTTACCTTCGTATAGTCTAGATCCTCAAGTATGAAATGGAATATGCCAGGAATGAAGGGCATTCCACAGCGGAATGGAGAACAGGAGAGCCTGGAGGCTAAGACCCAAGCATCACATAGCAGAGTCTCAGCACACTTCCCGTCTCTCTAAATGGATCAGGGTTGTGGGCTGCAGGGGTGATTGGATGAGCAGTTTCTTTCTGCTCATCAGCGGCAGCTTGGAACAGTTTATCTGAGAAAACCAAACAGGACATTCAGGAAGTTGGTGGTCTGGACCTCAAAACAAGGGTAAGAACAATGTTACGTGTGGGTCCTGAGCCTTGCTCTCCGGTACCCATTAGCATATGCTTGTAGGAGGGTAGTTTTCTCTCTCTTTTCGGGATTTATCAGGTTTTGTTTTAATGAAAAGGGGGAAGTTGTTTTGAAATAGCCAAAAGGAAAGAGAAGGGGCTGTTTTCAAGGCTTTGTAAATGTCCACTCGGAGTTTTCCAAACAGAATCTTCCCATGGTTGAAAAAAATCAAAGACAAAAGGGGGAAACAGCAAAAACACAAACACAGGGAGCCGGTTAAGTGCTACGATTCTGTCAAGTGCAAGCTGGGAGAAAACTGGTCTGGTCTCTGTTCCGAAAAGGGTGTTTTTAGAATAAATAGCCACCCAATAAATGCCTCAGCCACGTGACTGCTGGATTCTTGACCCCAGTTCTCCCCATGTTTTTCTCATGTTGCAACTGGGTTCCTAGCACACTGGGAATTTGTCAATAAGCTTAGTTATGTTTTTCCAACTTAGGCAACCGAGGTGTACATAAAAGAGGAATAAGCCTAGCGGTTGTGGCGCACGCCTTTAATCCCAGCACTTGGGAGGCAGAGGTGGGTGGATATTTGTGAGTTTGAGGCCAGCCTGGTCTATAAGAGCCAGTTCCAGGACAGGCTCCAAAGCTACAGAGAAACCTTGTCTCGGAAAAAAAAAAAGTATATTGGGTGCAAGGAAAATTGTTTGTTAGCTTCCTAATTAATAATATTTCTGAATGGAAACTTTTAAAAATAAATGTATGAGAGGAACTAATAATAAAGTACATGGAGCGTCTAGTTTCAAAAATTCTGAAACTATCATTGTAACTTGCACATCTTAGAGCGTGTGCCGTCTAGAACTCCGCCCCAGGTTTGAAATGTGGAGTTTAGGCCAAGTTCCTGCCAGCAAATCACTTCCTCCGCCCCTTGATCCCAGAAAGAGGATGTCAAGAGAGAGTCCTGCTTTATAAGAAGGGCGTTAAAGAAGCAAAGCATTTGGTAGAATCCTTGCAATGTTATGCTTGGCATATAAAGGAACTGATATGTATTAATATAATTTCCACTAAATATCATAATGCCAGCTCTTCTGAGGTATGCGTTGACCATACTGAAGACAGAATTAGGAAATCCATTTTCTGGAGATTTCTTAATGAGCTAGGAAAAAGTGATACCCTCTTGACCAATCATTTCTATACTTGACCTTTTAAAAATTATATACGGATCTCAAGTCTGAAATACAATTCCCAGCCTGACTGAAGCAAACACCCCCCCCACACACATACACACACAACTTCCTATACAAGTATATGAGCATAGCTTCGTGAAGAAAAAAAAAAAAAGATTTGATACATGGTTGGCATTTCTCATTTGGTATCCCTGGGATTTTCCCAGTCCAAAGCAATAAGCCTGGGGACACTATAAAATGCAGCAGCCCATAGCTCAGAAACAAAAGCCAGCCAACAAACAGATGTTAGTTCCAAGACACTCACCTGCAGAAACGAGCAAACCACACTGGGAGGGGTGAGAGGGTGGGCGGGGGGGGGGGGGGGNNNGGGGGGGGGGGGGGGGGGGGGGGGTAAGTGGGTACCATGCTCCTAGGAGGGGTGGGAGGGTGGGGCGAGGGGCGAGGGTAGGCGGGTGCCATGCTCCTAGGAGGGATGGGAGGGTGGGGCAGGGGTAGGCGGGCACCATGCTCCTACAGCATCGTTGAGAAACAACTGTGCACAATTTCTTCATAAAGGCTGGTTAGGTGGGGTAGAGGTGCAAGGCCCAGAGTCGAGCATTTGGCAAATATTCTTCTTTTTACTGTTTCATCTTCATAACTTAACACTCTTTCCTTTCATCTTACTTCACTCCAACTTTTCCTGAATCTCCCTTCAGTTTTATGATGTAAAATGGATGGGTTTTTGTTTGTTTGTTTTTGCTCCCATGCTCTGAGCTATGCAAAGATAGTGGACAGTGCTAATGATGTCTCTGAGTGTATCTTTCATCCAGACGACCCATAAACTTGATGTCAGAGACCACCACTGACCACCAAATTTCATTCTCCAAAGCAATACAGGAAACGCATGTCCTAATCGGAGATATTCATTTGTTTAATTTTTCTGTGAGCTAGAAACATGCGGACTAAAAACAACACTTACTTTTGCTCCATAAAGAGAGGATCAAAGAATTCTGTCGTGATCTTGTTGGCATACAGGGAACAGCCTGTCATGGAGCACAGACCTGAAAAACACCAGTGGGTACTGCAGTCAGTTCGAGGTCATTGACACCCTGAAGCACCTTGTTTGGTGGAAGTCATTATTTACCTGACAATATAAATACGATCCCAGCCAAGCAGGCAAGTTTTGCTTTGGCTTTTTCTGAGCCTCCAACTTTGGTACACTTCATTCCAAAGAGTGCAAAGATGGAACCGAAGAAGCCCAGGCTGACCGCAGCGATCATCAGTCCTCTGCACGCCTGGATGTAGCCTGTAATCACAGCAGGTCGTTTATGTGAACAAAGGATGCTCAGCTCTCCAGAGAGAAGACCTCGCTTTGTATTGGCACTTGGGTTGGGTGTTATACTGTCTTGGGGGGGGGGGTACACAAATTGGGTACAGTATACTGCCTTAACTCGTGGAGTAAGGTGGGAGAGAGAGGAAAGCCAGCAAATCTACGTCAAGTGCCTGTTCACTGTCACGCAGTTTGAGGCTTGCTTTATGCAGAGGCTCTGGCTAGATCTCTAAGTTATTCCTGCCCTTAGTAAGGAGGAACCTCAGGCGTGCAGAAGCTCTGTGGTTTCCTGCAGATGAGTTAGCCATGCTAGACAGGATCCCACCTGGAGAGGACTGTGAAGCTCATGCCCCACTGCTTCTCGTTCTAACTCCTTAGTGTACCCACCTTCTCAACAGACACTGAGGCGAGTCTGGAACTACACAATTAGAATGGTTATAACTGGGCAGCAAGATGGCCCCAGGGTCAAGTCTCCTGGTATCAATGGAACTGTATATATGAGACTAGCTAGCGTGTGCTAGGGGCCCATGGTGAGACTAAGAATTATCTTAGTGGCACCTTGCTATTGTTAGGGTGGATATAATAAAGTTGGGCTTAAGACAACATTGCCTACTAGGAAAGTAATTTATAATCAAGTCAACTGCTCGCATGTACACGAGAGCCTTGTGCTAGTCAGCTTGTTCCTACTGAACCACTCATGGTCACAGTCACAGATTTTATTTGCATAGCTGGGCTGGTGGCAAGCTTCAGCAGGGCTTTGGGCCAGGCCCCGAGCTATTCTACATGAACAGAATTCAAAGTGACACCCCAGATTCCCAGTCAGACCACTTCGTCTCATTTGAAACAACGCCTTTCGCTCTGACGCAGCGAGAGGGGCACACACCAGTTGTCGGCAAATTGACAAGCAAATGAGCACACACAAGGTTGTCTTTGGGAACGAAGCCTTCTAATAAAAAAAAGAATAACAAAAACCTTAAGTGCCCACATAAGCAATAGTCATCTATCGCTATCCCGTATTCGAGCAAAGCCAATGCTAATTCACAGTAGAAGACTAATAGAACTTTGTGGATTAAGTCTTGGTGGCCTCCAGTCCGTACTCCTCTGTACAGGAATTTAAAGTGTGAATTACTGTTACTAAGACCCATGTTGCAAAGCAGTTCTTTCTACCCAATGTAACACACCCTGAGCCCTCATAAACACAGACGGCCACAGCAAGGTGTGGAAGTTGCCAAGAACAAGAAGAGAAGCTTATTTTAGTGATTTGGGATCATGGAGGATTCTTTTATTAACAATAATAGTGCTGCAAAACTGTCTAGATCTCTGCTACTGAATACTGAACCAACTCTGTTTTCAACTTGGGCCCGTGAGTCCTCTTGCCACAGCACAAAAGCAGCGCCTCTCAAAATCAAAGTGACTGCAAGGACCATCTAACGAGGCTCCCTGTGCACCACAGAACCTAAGACAGCAAAGGTTGCAGCTAGCTTGCTCTGAAGGCCAACACTAAACAACAAAAATAGAAAGAGAGATGCACACATGCGCAGGCAGTCACACACACGAGACACAAGCGCAGCACTATCCTTTGTCAGTGTGGGATGTGTTTTGCTTCAATACTCTCACGAAGCCACAAATAATTCTGAGCTCTATCTATACACCGCCTTTGCAAAAAATACGTGAGAAAAAGTAAGATCAAGTACAGAAGAAATGAATAGCAACTATGAAGCTGGGCTTGGGGAACACAGGCCTGTAAGCCCAGAACTGATGATGAGGTGGGCGGATGATGAACGCAAAGCTAGTCTGGGCTCCATGGAGAGACACCGTTTCAAAGAAAGAAGAAAAACATAATAGTTAGGTAAAACAGAATGATTAACAATTTATTTGAGTAAAATGTACCCATAACTTCTAGATTATTCAGTTTTGGAGTTTTTCATTTGTTGACCATAGGCCATCGAAACCCAGGAAACTCCCCTGGGAAAAGGGAGACTTCTATGCAGAATATTAATTTAGAAAAAGACAGGAACAAGCATGCCCTTATTAGGAACCGTCCTCTGCAGTTGCTCCCGCTGTCTTACGGGCTTTCTCATGGGCAGATGGATGGTCTGAAATCTACCAAGGGCTGAGTTTACAGTCTGGTCATGGAGAGCGGGCAACGAGTTTCCCTGCATGGGAAAGTGTTAGGAAACCAGTCCAAGCCAGTCAGCTTGAAGGCAGGGAAAATCTCAGAGACAGTTTTCCCCAGAATCTCTCCTTCTAAAGTCCCCTCGCTGATCTATCTTCCAAGCACAGATGTTAGAGAGAAGGAGGACAAGGAGGTTCTCATGCTGCCTCAATGTGGTCCTTCTCCAGTGCTACCCAGTAACCTGGTGTGCAGGGCAGTGCACTTCACCCTGGCTCTAGAACACGAGCAATAATTTACTGAGTTTCTGCACACACTAAAGGCAATAGCTGGCCTGATGGCTCTATAATGGGGAGCCAACATTCCCAGACAAGGGGAAAACTCCCCTGCTACCCTGTCAGCTGTGGAAGGAACTGTTCGAGGTGTTTGTTAATTAGCCGGAGGTTTGTAACCTGGGGCCTGTCAGCTCCTTAGAACAGACTCCCAGGGCAGACTTGCAGAGTTTATCTTTCGCAAGACAGACCTCTCCACCCACCTTTTAACAGCTCCCGGGGGCAAACTTAGAAGTTCCACCATCAACGGAGGTGGTAGTAAAACCTAGCCAAGGAGGCCATTATTTCTGACAGGTCTAATTTACTGGCCCCGTTAATAGCTAATTAACACATTGAGGTGCTGAGGCATGAATGTATTCACTCAGAAGTTCTCAAGGTATAATTTATAGTTCTCCTGCAAGAAAGAGCAAAAGCCCCCATTAGCAAAAGCGGACGGCACATGGTTAAAAATAACTGAAAAGAAGTTCAGGGTTAGCAACAGACAGAAATTGCCTGCTCCGTCAACGGTGAGATTTTCAAACAATAACTTGGACCAAAGGGATTCTGTTGCAGGAAACCTTCAAGGTAGCCCTTCAAAGTTAGATGTCTTCTCAATGATATGTCCTTTACTTTCAGTTTCAAGTCAGAAGCACGATTAGCTGTCGTGCTTAACTGGAAAGAACCCAAGCCTGTCTTACACGAGTAGCTTGGTGCGTTTGTGCAAATAGTGGACGAGGGAAGGTAGAACACGGAATGTCAGCTCTCGAGCTCCCATTTATACAGGAACCTCTTTTTACCGATGGATCTCTCTGCATCTCTGTTTCTCATGGGAAAACAGGAAGAGGCGCAGGGTGACCGGCACGAGAGTAAGAGACCACCAAAAAAATCCCTCATCCTAGGCGGATGTGAGAGCCTGCGACGTAGAGACGTCTACGTCGTGGTGACGTAGCCCGCAGTCTAGACGTTAGCTTTGCCGCGCATCTTCTTTCCCAAAGGGAAATCTGGGAGCAGCACTGAATCCTCCAGAGGATGACAATGAGGTCTCTGACTCCAAACGGGGTGTTCTATTGACCATAACACAAGATAGCAAGAGTCACCAGCCTTCTCTCTTTGGCATTCCTGATCCGGAGTCTATGCGTGACTTAAGCAGGGAAGACAGGGCTGTTCTGGTCAGTAGACACCTAGCGAGGCGACTTTCTCCTTCCACCTCAAATATCAGGCCCAGCGCCTAACATACCTGCCCTGACAACCCAAGGTAGAAAGAAGGCAGGGTGGGATTTTGGGGGAGGGTGCTTCTCTGGAAACTTCCACTTGAGGTCGGGGAGGGGAGATCAACTCCTTTTCATGTGAAAAAGGAGTGATGGCTGAACCCTCCTGGGAGACACAGAAGTTTATTTGAAAATGCCCTAGTGCACCACAGAGTGTGAAGGCACCAAGGGAAATACTGATGTCGTAATTACGTCATTATTTTCAAAGTTCAGTATGGGAAAAATGGTATAATACATTGGGAAACAAGAGGTGCGGCAAAGCTAACATCTAGACTGCGGGCTACGTCACTACGACATAGACGTCTCTGTGTCGCAGGCTCTCATATCCACCTAGAATGAGGGATTTTTTTGGTTGGCTCAGATTGCACCAAGGAATCAAGAATGCACATACAAAAAAAGAAGAAGAAGAAGAAACAATGCAACTACTGTCACAAGATAGAAGTAGACAGAAAAGAAATGGCCAATGAATAAGCTTCAGTGGTCAGACTCACAGGGAGTAAGGGGACCGCAGATCTAATGTGTTATTCTCGGCTGGAACAGCAGCGAGAGAGTGGCAAAGCAGCTGTCCCTGTTTCTTGCTGGAACGCAATCTGGCAGTGTGAACTGGACACTTGTTCTTCTGGTCCGGCGATCGAGCAGGGTACAGAAGTCGGCACGCACAGGAAAAGGTGAACGTGAAGGGCTCCAGGAAGGCACTAAGAGCAGGGAGAAGCTGGCAGGGGTCCAGTGTCCACCAGGACTAAATGGCTGAGTGAACCTCTCTTCAGACCAGTAAGAGCTATGCAGCAGCTAAAAAGCTTTTTCTATCTGCGCCGACTTCAAAGGTGTTGTTCATTAAAAGCATTGTGGGACATGTCATTTCTGTTTTTTTAAACATCATTTTCTAATCACAGGAGACTGCCCACTTTGCATCTATGCATATGTGGGTGGCACACACATGACACACTCTATTCCATGCCTGCCTAACTCAAGGTCCTGATAACGAGAACTGTGTCATACCCTCCTCAGCACCCAGCTCAAATCACAGGAAGTCTCCACAGCGGACACACAGCAGGAAAATCCCACATTGTGAAAGCCGCGTTCCTGGATGTACACCACAGGAACAAGAGCTTGTCTGTTATCTCCTGAATGTGTGCTCTGCTGAGCCCAGGAAACTCAACAGCAATGCATGCCATAAACAGTGTTCCGGCTACTTACTTTATACAACAGGGCCCAGCCCTGGGTGCCTCCCTTCTGCAGGCAGGCACCTATTCCCTTAGACCAACTTCCATCAAACACTGAATTGAGCAACAGTTTGCTTTTTGTGGCAAAGCACTGTCTTAGGGGAATCAAGTCTTCTATTTACCCAGCTATGCAAATAAAAATTGCAAGAGGAATAATAGAGAAAAGGAAAACACCTCAAATCTAGAAGCAATGCAACCTGCTCGTCTTAAATTCCTGCCAGAATCCTTTTAGTGGCCTGTAAAATCCTGGAAGAGCCTAGAACTTGAGCAAGCATTGTGCTGGTGCCGAATCGATTCTATGTTACTATCTATCTGGAGAAAACAAAAACAAACAAGCAAAAAAAACAAGCTAAAAAGACCCAGCATGCAGGCACAAAGCTTGGAAGTGTGTTCACTCGTTCTGCTGACTCGAGCTGGCCAACATTCCCTGTCCTCCGCAGCCACTTCACGCCCGCACAGACAAGGACTATTTATTTTCCTGAAACTTAGAGGAAGTATTAAGCTCAAGCTATCAAGTTTGTAGGAGACATTTTTAGATAAACAACAACAACAAAAAACTTCAATATGGTACTTTCTCCAGTCCTCTGTTCCTGGCTTTTCAAAGACTCAATGAACCGCTAAAGGGATCTCAGGGCGAGCATTCACGGACCTCGGGGGTGTCGTTTTAATGAGAATCAGATTTTGGTGGTGGGGTGGCAAGCCTCAACGTCCCGTCCCGACAGTCCCAGACAGACACAGGAATAGCCTTGTCGCTCCCGAACCACCCGAATTGATCCTACATGCTTCCCCATCAAGTGTTCCCAGCTTCAGAAGACGCCCCACCGGACAGCCGGCATCGTAGACCCTCCCTGGGGAGAGAGTGGGGCCCGACCTCCTTCCAGGGGGGTTCCCTTGGCGGGTTCCTAAGAAGACGCGCAGGAATGGGGACCCGAAGGGATGCAGACCTTCCAGCGCCAGCATGGAGGGGAAGTCCTTGCAGTTGGCGACACCAGTGGAATCGGTAACGCACATCTTCCATAGGTTGGCAAAATAGGTGGCGGTGGTGATGACCGTGCCGTCGATGGTGGACACCTTCCAGTAGTCGGTGGGCAGTGTGGAGGACACCAGCACCCAGCCCGAGATGGAGACCGTGAAGGCAACGATCTCCAAGGCCGTGCTTGCCATGCCGCCGCCTGCAACCGCTCTCCGGCTTGATCCCACTCGGCGTGGCGACCCCCGCGCACCCAGTCCCGAGGCTCCGCCCCCGGTCACCGCCTCCGTCCCGCCCACTGGGCACCAGAGGGCGCAAGCGGACCCGCACTCACGCCCCTGCCTGCGCGCAAGGCGATTTGGGGCTCGCCCTCCTGGGTTCCTCCCAGCAGCTGGTCGGCTGCCCACAGTTGCAAAGCCCTCAAAGGCAGCGCGCTCCTGGGCCCGAGGTCCCCGAATCTCCCACAGACGAGCCGCGGAAAACGGCTTTTATTGGAGCTGTCCAGGGACAAGCAGATGTGGACAACCTGCTGCGCCTCCCTCCGAGTCATCCCCGACCCAGCCCTACAGGTGGCAAATAGCTTGGCTCACTGGGTATCTTGTAAAAGCAGAGCAGAAACAGCTTTGCTGTGCCCTGAAAGGACACGGTACGGAAACGCAGCCTCGCTTTGCTGAACGCTAATGGCCGGTGTGCCACGCTTCTTTGAGAGACCCTGTTTGGCTAGTTAAGGAGGGAGTGAGTACTGGGACTGAAACTGGCCTTGCCTTCAAAATTCTGAAGCTCTGTTTGGCCTAATGGTATGCGGAAAGTAATAATCAAACGCTCTGTCGCTCGGACCTATTTTCCAAGGGAGCAGAGTCTCCAGCAGCCCAGTGAGGGCACTAGAGATGGCGCAGCCTTTTGACCTTTTGATTCACTTCCCCAAGAGCTACCAGCTGCTGTCGGTTTGTGAAGGGAGGATTCTGAAACAAGGGAGAGACATCTATATGTATCTTGTTCAACTCTGTGTGTGTGTGTGTGTGTGTGTGTGTGTGTGTGTGTGTACGTGTACATGCCTATGAATGCAGAGACCAGGGAGCAACCCCCGGTGTTATCGACTTTGTTTTTTGACAGAACACTCTCTCGCTGGGGCCTAAGGCTTTCAGATTGGGCTATGTGGCTGACCAGCGAGTGTTAGAGATCGACTTTTCCCTGTCCTCTCCTCATCCCCGAGGAGAGAACCATCAGCTCATTTTATGTAAATGCTGAACCCAGGTCATCAGGGCTGAACAGCGATTGCTCTACCGATTGTATTATCGCCCTTGTCAACTTTGGTTTCATGTGTTTGCATGTGCGTGTGCCCCTGTATGGGCATGTGTGTGGGTGGGTGCTTGTGTGTGAGCATGTGTGTTTGTGTGTGTTGGTCAGAGGTAGACATTAGATATCAATCTCTGTGGCTGTTCGCCTTATTTTTTGAGACAGGGTCCATCACAAAACTAGGAGCTTCACCATTTTGGCAAACCGGCTGGCCAGGGAGCTCTGAGAAGCCACCTTTCTCTGCCACCCCCCCCCATGGTTTAAGGTGCACACCGCCTTTTGCAGGGGTGCTAAGGATCTGAACTCAGGTCCTCCTGCTCCGACTGAGCCCTCTCCCCAACCCTCACCAGCTCCTCCACCTTTCCCACTCAATTGAAGAATAAACTCATTCATGGCCATCTTTTTTCTGCTGTCTTAAGATAAACACAAAGACCAACGTGTCCTTCCAGCTCCTGAGGTCACGAATCTGGGCATAAATGAGAGAACAAAGACACTGGCTTCATTATGGGTTTATTATTGTCCACTCAGAGTTCTTGCAGTTCTTGGTGTGACCTTTCAGGATCCATTTCTTGCCAAAAGTAACCAAAGGTCTAAACCATAAAATCTGTCAGCTGTAGACAAGCAAGTTCCTCGCTGAGTTTCACAATCTCCGTGCAGAGCTAGGTCTGGCCCATTGTGAAGAGCGTAACTGTCTTGGTGGCTTTTATTCTTTTTTAGTTTTTAATCAAGTGAAACATGTCAAAGTCTGAAATGACCGGTTAGCAGTGGAAATGGACGTGAGGGTGGCGTGGTCAGTGGGAGGCAGACATGGTTACCTCCTACTCTGGTCCTGATCCTCACTTACTCCAGTGTGTCAGTACAGGTTCACCGGTGGGTCAAACTTAAGAGCAAAGTCTGCGGAACCCTTTGCTTGTCATCTCTTGTCTACTCACATCAGCTCCCCTCCAAGAGTGAGTGCAAAGAGTCCTCTTTTTTCTGCCACACAGTGCTCCCATCCCCAGGTCCCTGCCCTTTGTCAGAGTTTTGTGTCAAATTTCTGAATCCCATTCTTGATGTAAGTTTGGTTTTTTGAGCCTGCACATTCTCTGTGAAGTTAGTTAAAATTAGTATTATCAAACTTATAATTTTGTCCCTGTTCACGGTCTCTTTGCTGAGTCTTGCGGATTAGTTAACTCTGTCTTGTTACTACTTGATAGGACACTGCCTTTTGACAAGAAGCGATGCGCTTAGAGTTATGGCCATTAGGCCTCCAGTAGGTCTGTGCTTCCAGAGTGATTGGTTGTGAATTCTCCTGTTTGGATCCAAAAGCACCCTGTTTTAGAGACATAACTGTGAAAAGATGGTTTCTTGTTTTCTCTCTGAAAGCTGAAACAATCCATGAGCTATGCAAACCTAGCTTTCAGAAGCAAGAGACTCTGAATCCCCAGGAAGAACTCCATGCAGCCCCTGGCCCTGCCTTACCACAACACTCACTAAGGAAGCCACAGTCTCCAGGGTGGCCTGCCAGGCAGCAGTACTTTCAAAACTCCCAGTGTGAGCCATGCTAGAGCTGCAGCTACAGAGGGCGGAGACTCATGAATTGTATACAAACAGTTTAACACAACAGATGTGCTGTAGTTGGAAGAGAAAGATTAATTTCTGTGTTGAAAACTTAAAAATAGAAGTGTTCTATTATTGTAGATATTGCAACACATAGTTTCAACCTAAAACAAGTGGGAAGTGCAAAAAGCGTAAATTGTGGCTTGGACGGGAGCTGCCCTTAGTTCCTTAGCCAGGGTCGTCATGCCTGTGGACTCCATGATGCTTCTTTCTCTTTTATGCTTTGCCCTGTCTTTGAGATTGGACAATGTCACACGCCCTAGACCACATTACATGTGCGTTGTAAAAAGTTACATTTCTGAGCCCATGGGAATGGCAAACTACTTTCTGTAATGTCTAAAGCCCAGTCTGTAATGAATCAAGCATTTAGTTTAGATGTTTCATAACTTAAGCTTTCAAAACATCGGAGTCAGAAGAAGGCGGAAGGCGTTATAGAGTACCGTGCGATCCAGCATAAAAAGTGTACAGAAAATGAAGGTGGGCCGTGCAGAGGATGTTTTAAAATGAAAGATAAATGTCTTGTTTCTGGCTGGGTGGTGGTGGCACATGCCTTTAATCCCAGCACTCAGGAGGCAGGGGCGGGCTGATCTCTGTGAGTTCGAGGCCAGCGTGGTCTACAAGAGCTAGTTCCAGGACAGGCTCCAAAGCTTCAGAGAAACCTTGTCTCAAAAAAAAAAAAAAAAAAAAAAAACCAAAAAAAAAGAGTCTTCTTTCTGTGTAAGATCATGTAGTCCCAAATAACCTTTGCAGTTAATCAGCAAAGCAGTTTACACAACTGGCAAACTTCCTCATTTTCGGTAGGATTCACTCACTGACACTTTAACTCTTCATAGCACACTGTCCTTAAGAGTAAAAGTGAAGTCCTCCAGAAAATCCGATTTATTCCGTGTAACATCTTAATCATAACTTGTTTAATACAAAGCACCCTTTCTCACTACGAGAAGCACTAATCACTGGACGAATGACAAACTCTGCTGGAAGATACGCTGTGCCCTGGAACACATCATCCCTTCCGCTTCTGACACTTCAGCATTAAAGCTATGTGCGTGGTCTTACTATGGTCATTCAGGGAAAACAGAGGCTCCCCTCACTTCCATCCCCACCCCCGGCCCCAGTTGTTCAATGGGAGTGAAAACCAGTTTGGCCAACTGAACGGGAGATTTGCAGAAACTCTTTACTTGAGACTCGGTTCCCTTGCCAAAGAACACAGGTGTGCCTTTGAACACAGCTCAAGGATTTTCTGAGCATCCCGTTTGGTTTCAGTATACATTAGCTGCTTCCTAGATTCCAGTGAGCGAGCACGCTGGTAGTCAGCTGGGAAGAATGGAAGCCCTAAATAGAACGGTGTTATCTAAACAACCACTCAGCAAACAAATATTGCTACAAATACCTGTTAATAAAGGCACTAACGCCAAAACTAGTTGTTAAAACAGCGTATCTGTACTCTTCCCTCTAATGTGAGTCACTCTCAGTGTCCTACGCAAGTTCTATTTGGAATCTACTTATTATAAAAACTACAGAGTGCCGGGCACTGGTGGCACAGACCTTTAATCCCAGCACTCGGGAGGCAGAGGCAGGTGGATCTGTGTGAGTTTGAGGCCAGCCTGGTCTACAGAGCTAGTTCTAGGACAGGCTCCAAAGCTGCTCAGAGAAATCCTGTCTTGGTAAAACACACACACACACACACACACACACACACACACACACTACAGAGTGCCAAGAATCAAGAATACTCAGGGCAGGACACTTTTATCTGTGCATCACTACAGACACATATGTATGCATGCATTCATCATTGTACAGTCAGGTAATAAACATACGTATGTTTACTTCTGCACTCATTTTTACTTCGTTGCAAGTTATGAGTGCACTAACAGTTGCCTTGGTTTGTTTTCAATCTCCTGAGGGTGGACCCACTCATGAAAGTATTTCTGTGGACCTCCTAAGGGTGGACCCACTCATGAAAGTATTTCTGTGGACCTCCTAAGGGTGGACTCACTCATGAAAGTATTTCTGTGGACTCCTGAGGGTGGACCCACTCATAAGAGTGTTCCCATGGACCTCCTGAGGGTTAACCCACTCATCAGGGTGTCCCGTGGACCTCCTGAGGGTGGACCCACTCTTCGGAGTGTTTCTGTGGACCTCCTGAGGGTGGACCCACTCATCATGGTGTCCCGTGGACCTCCTGAGGGTGGACCCACTTGTCAGAATGTTTCAGAGAACCTCCTTTACCTTGAGGTTTTCTTTGTAGGCATTCACTTGAAAGCCGCACTCCCAGCTATGAGACACCGTAGGAACACTGAGGTTCAGCCGCTCATGGCTGAGTACCCTCTCACTCCAGGATACTAGACACTCCCAAGCTTGTAGGTGGACAAGATGAGTTCTGTTGGTCTGTGAGCATCTGCTGAGTTTTAACTCAGCCCCCTCACCCAGGTTGGCTGCGTATTTTTTATACATGTTTATTTTTCTGAACAAGTCATT